TTTTTTTTTCCTTCTTCACTTCTTTTTGTTTCCATAATTCTAAAACCCATTTTCATATTGAACAAAATAAAAAAGTATTTCAACTATTTAAGAGTAATTCGTTTTTTTATCTAACAAAACACAATTGGTTGTATCTTTATTCACTTATAAGTTTAATCTTTAATACCACCTTTCTAAATACAATTTAAAGTACTAAAAAACACTACTACTTTATCATAACCAAACTTAAAATAAAATAAGTTAATTAATATTCAATGAAATATAATAAACAAAGACAGATATGATTTACGTTCTTAAAAATAGGTATGACCTTATTATGTTTGGACTTTTGGATAATCAAATGAAAAAAAAACATGATAAAGTCCAATGAAAAATAAATAATCAAAATGTAAAAAATTAATTATTCAATAAAGAATTTTAATTGGGTAAAAGAGTAGATGGTTGGGTTTGATGAAGAATCCATGTACCTAATAAAGGAAAACCAAAAAATTTTACCCCTCTACCAGCAATGACCAATCCTATTTGAGTAATATAAAGGAATAACATTGTTAAAATAGAAATAATAAAAAACCATATTAGTTTGTGTGCAAAAATTGATGCAATTCCAAGTAATACAGTAAAATATGCAGTAATACCATTTACTATAATAGATTGAATTGCAAACTGACGAGCAACAGTTACTTTAGGTTTGACTATATAAACAAACAATCCTCCCATAATTGAACCAGCCGTTGCTAATAAACAAATAAAAACAGGACTAACATCAAACGTTTGATCAAGTCGTGATATTACTCTATTTACTTTTCTTTTTAAATTATCAATATTAAATATATCACCAATATCATCATTGTAATTTGGTTGTTGTATTTCTTGAGGTTGGTTTAATATTTCTTCTTTTTGTTCAACTGGTTCAATTTGACCAATAGGTTGTTCAGTAAAAGAATGAGGTTCTTCAGTCATATGTAGATTAATTAATCTTATATTAGTTCTTTCTTATAAAAAAATGTTTTTGAAAAAAAGTTATTAAAAACATAATTTTTTACTTTTTCTTTTTAGTCATTTATTGAAAGATTTTTATTTTTCTAAATTATAATATAACAAAAATATTTATTAAAAACATTGAAATAAAACACAACATTAATCAAATCTTATTAATGGTGTTTCTTCCATTCTAATACAAGGTGTTTCTTCCATAGGAACTAATGATGAAATAATTCCATTTGTGTATTCATTATATACTGACTGATAATTAATTTCTTCTTCTTCCCCCAAGAGAATAGGATTACTAGATCTAGTAAATGTAGGTGTTTCAATAGAACATTGATTATTCATAAGATAAATATAATTTTAAGTTTTATCTTTTTTTTGATATTTGAAAATTCTCTAATTTTATTATAACAAAAAAAAAGAATAATAAAATTATTTTAACAAAACTAATAAAAAACTGAATAAATTATTGTTATTGTTCCATTGGGATTGTATCAAGAATAGCTAATGCATCTGCAGCTACTTTTAATATCTTATCAACATTAACATCATCAGCAGAAGTAAATGTTTTCAATTGTCTATTATCAACAATTTCACAAATACCACCACTTCTAACCCATTTAAATCCTTGTGTAATTTGAGTAATACAACTCATTTCCATTTCAAAGTTCTCAACCATTAAGTCTTTTGTTTGAACATTCATAAGAACATCTTCAAGAGATGAAATTGTTGTTGGTAATTCTTTAAAAATAAATCTTCCTTGACAAACAAAGAATCCAGCAGCTGATGCTGTTATACCAACTTTGTATGGAACGTTTTGTTCTTTAGCAACTTTTTCTAATGCTTCAACAACAAGAGAATTTGGAACAGAAACGTATGGTCTAATCTTTCCTTTAAATCTATGTCCTTCAGGAATGGCTTTATCAATCTTTTCAATGACTTCTTTTTCTAATTCAAGTGCTTCTTTATTAACTTGTTTAACATCATAAAATAATCCAGTATTATCAAGACCAATAGTATATTTTGTTACTATTGCTGTTCCAATTGGAGTATTTTTTGAAATAGCACCTGATGTACCTACTCTAATGATATTAACTGGGTGTGTTGGTGCAGCTTTTGGAGTTCTAGTTTTAACGTCAATACATTTTAATGCTAAAATTTCATTAATAATAATTTCTGCACTACCAGTACCCATCCCATGTGTAACAATTGAAATTCTAAGTCCTTTTGGTGTAAATCCTGTCATGGTTGTTAAACCACGGTGGTCACGTCTGAAAATTGGTTTAGATTCATCAAAAAGTAATTTACTAGCTTTTGGAACTCTTTCTGGATCTCCAACTAATATAATATTATCAGCTAAATCCTCTGCTGTAATTGATAAATGATAAATAGTATTTCCATTTGCTGGAAGTGTAGCTTCAGTTAATCTTGACATGTTAATTTAATTTTTAGTTTCATTCTTTTATATTCCTTTAGAATCATATTTAGAACATCGAAGAACAGATAGAAGAGATTTTTCCTTCTTCCATCTTAGGTCGAAGTAAGAAGAACTTATTTAGTTTTTAAAATTTTTATTTACCATAATTCCTTTTCATCAATAAACACAAAATCATAATCAATCTATTAAACAATACTTTGAGAATTTACTAAAAAAATTGAACGTCTCTTTGACATAATTAAGAGGATTAAAAGTAATTGGATTTCTTTCTCAATAATGGTGATAAAGAAGAATGCAAATAAACAAGTACAATAGTGGAATTGTCATTGATAAATAGAATTTGTTCCTGTTAATGGTATTGAACAATAATGTTTATGTTTGTTATTACT